CCACCCATCGGGTATAAAAGAAGGACTCTCACACCAGCAGTTAGACGCCTGTCTGCCCTCCACAGACAAGACGTTCTCCTTGCCCCTGGAAACTGCCGTTCCTGCTCTGCTCCTGAGTCCAAACTGTTAGAGGCCTCTCTTCGTGTCAAGATACCGAGCACCTGCAGCTGCGGATCTGAGGACCTCCGTGTGTCTCTGTCAGCGAGTGTCTCCAGGTGGCCTGCCAAGGACTGAAACCCATCAGCTCTCTGGTAAATAAACCTGTGTGATTCTTGCATTTTGTTTGTCTCCTGTGTCTTCTCTCTTCTTAGTTTTGGTTTAAGCTCGGCCTAATTAATTAATAATAAGTACCCTTTGACATCTGTATTGGTATAACCAAATGAGGCGCACTGGGTCACCTGTGCATACGTTCCCATAGAAGTGGAACACTTCTCCATGGCTTCAGTGCTGTGATGGTTCTATCTCTTACACCGGCTTTCATTACAACTCTGATATCACAGAGTCACTGCCCATCAGGTTTACTTATGTCATAAAGTAGCTTTGCACATTATGTTTACTAGTTCAGTAAATAAACATTTATAGAGTTTTAAAAGTTGTTTAGTTCCTAGTATACTGCTGGTGGGAATGCAGGCTGGTGCAGCCATTATGGAAAACAGTATGGTGTTTGCTCAAAAAATTAAATATGGATCTGCCATTTGATCCAGTGATCCCACTTCTAGGAATAGATACAATCAGAAGGAATATATGCACCCCTATGTTCATAGCAGTGCAATTTACAGTAGCTAAGATCAGGAAACAGCCCAAGTGCCCATCAGTAGATGAGTAAATAAAAAAGCTGTGGTTCATTTACACCATGGAATACTATGCAGCAGTGAAAAGGAAAGATCTCTTATCCTTTGAGATAGCATGGGGAGACCTGGAGAGTATTATGCTAAGTGAAATAGCCAGTCAGAGAAAGACAAGTATCACATGATCTCACTCATTTGTTGAATCTAATGAACAAAATAAACTGGTGGGGGAAAAAAAAATAGATCCAGGGACATAGAAGCATGGAACAGACTGTGGGATCTCAGAGGGAAAACAGGATTGGGTGGGTGGGTGGAAGGTGATCACAAAGAGCTTGTATACATATATGCATAACCCATGAACACAGATAATAGTGGGTAAAGGCCTGGTGGAGGAGGGGGAGTGTTGTGGGCTAGAAAGGACCAAATGGGGGGAAAAGGGGGACATCTGTAATACTTTCAATAATAAAGATTGAAAAAATTTTTTTTCAAGTTGTTTAATTCCTGAGAAAACCCTGTATGTATACTCAGATGTAAAAGTATAAAATAATACATAAATTATCTACTAGAAGTTATATAAGCCAGATATCTAAGCATCAGGTAAAATCTTTTATTTAAAACATTAAACGGTGGGAGTTTATACTTTTTCTTAAACAGTACTGCCTTAGCAATAGCCTGCATAAATTTGAGCCCTTCAAATTTATCAAGCAAACAATCAAGCAACAATTATTTGTTGAGTACATATGTGCATAAGTCCTGGAGGAATATGAATAAAATGTAAAATATTGTTCCTGCTCTTCCCTTAGATTTGTAGGTATGTCATGTGGAGTCCTCATTTAGATTTAAAAAAAAACCACAGGCTTGTCATCCTATATGATAAAAGGCTAATATGCAAATCAACTGAACAGGGAACAACCGGTCGCTATGATGTGCACTGACCATCAGGGGGCAGATGCATCATTCAAAACCAACCCAAACTAGAGGCCCGGGGGTGGGAGCACTAAGGATGTCCGACTGACGGCCTGAACTGTGAGAAGGTGCAGGCCGGGCTGAGGGGACCTCCCCCTCCCCCTCAGTGCACAAATTTCATGCACCGGGCCTCTAGTTTGAAATAAGAGACCAAATACTTTTCCTGCCCAGTTAATGAGACAAAGTTAAATATGATCAGAGCTAGTAACATAACATACCTAAATGCTTTATCAACTGTCAGAGCAGCAAATACTATTGACATTCAGAACAGAAGGTCAAAGGTGATAGAAGCAGAATCCACACTTATTGTGTTCCTACCCCATAAAGCCTGTGTTTTACTTGGTTTGGGAACACATGGAGAGAGAAATGCCTAGCTAGTTGGGTTGGTTTTGAATGATGTATTGGATTTGTCTGGAGGGAGAAAAATCATCCCATGGAAGAAAGAAGGTGTACCACAAAACAGTGACAAAAGTGATGCCTATGTGACTTTGAAGGGGGCAGGCAATGGCTTGACTAGATTTGGTGCTCACGCTAAGGAAAAGCAGGAGGTTGGATTGTAGGGTAGGGCAAGAGGCAACAAGAATAAGAGAATTTTGGTTTTCAGAAGGCAAAACAGCACTTTCCATCACAGAAGTCTCTTGGTTTTAAGATGCAACTTTGATGTATTTTTATAAGGTTTGATGGGGAAACATTTACATAGCCCCTTTATAACTGCAATATGTCTTATTTTTCGTTGTGAGATTATTTATTTGCTATTTACTCTACAAGTATCCCTTGAACTTGGGGAAGAAAAGAAAAATTGGGGTGGTTTGTGTTTTATTTAAATTATAGGAACAAAGGAGGCAGGTGATTTCTCCATAGCCCTGGCAACTATGCAAAAGGTTTCCCGTGTCTCCATCTCCCTTCTATTTCCAGAGCAGAAGAGGTTGGGTTGGTTAGTAGTACTTTGCAGGACTTCAGGTGATATTCATTTCAAAGAATCTTTATTAGGTTCCACGGTGGTTAAGATATAATTTGGGGACTTCAGGATTTTCCCTCTCCACTGACTTACCTACAGAAGAGAGATTTCTGGGTCATGCTTCAGGTGGAGGGCAGTGGGTTGTATGGGAGGGGATAGTTTCCCCCTTCCTCTCTTGGTTCTTAAGACTGGCCCAACAATTAAAATGACTTAAGACAGATTAACAGGAGAAAAATCAATTTTAATACGCACAAGAATTCACATAAGCGTGAGAGTACAAAGCCAGTAAGGCAAGATGAGGCATATATGTCATTCCAGACTAAGGAGAAGAAGGCAGGGGTCATAGGAAGGTGAACTACGGTCTGGGGTGGTAGTTCTTTCCTAAAGCCTGGTATCAGACTTCCATCTTAAATTCGTTTAGGAAGGTTAAAAGTTCTTCACAGAGCTTTCTGGGCCTTAAAAAGAACCAGCTTAAAATAATCACTATCCCAAAGAGGCATATTTTTTGGTTGCAGACTTCTGCTTTTCAGTGTCATGCTCCTGAGAGAGCATGGTAGTGCTGGAAGAATGAATCGAAGATGGTTGGTTTTGTTGGTAACTAACTTTACTAAGTTTCACTTGTTTGTGGTGAAAGGTGCTGGGGAAAGAGAGCAGGCCACACAGCTGTCAGTGCAGGTTGCACTGGGCGCTGCAAACTGGTGGGCTGCGCCAATGGGCCTCAGGCGTTAGATTTTGGTTTCGGGATGACGAAGCCAACCTGGTTAGTAGGCAGCCGCCTTTCTCCTTTGTCCTTGCACACTTTGCGCTCCACAAGATGCTTAACCAAATGACATAAGCAACCGCTAGGAGGTATCCGAGCTGTGCATCGGCCGCCTAGGCAAGCATAAATGGCTCACGTTGGGTCCCTCCGCTCCGCAGGTCCAGGCGGGTGGCACTTTTCCAAGGTGGCGATGAACTAGTGCGTGGAGTGAGAAAGACATCTGAAAGCAAGGGACCTTTCATCCAAAAGGTGGAGTTGACGGCCGCGCCTCCAAAGCATCGTCGCGTCGGGAGGTCTGCGTGCGTGGGCACCAGCTGCCTGCACATCTGGATGCAGCAGCGCTTTCCCCTGCAGGGCGGAGGCGAGGCGGAGGACCGCGCCGTGCACGCACCTCCTCGTGCGCGCGCGCGCGGGCCCGGGAGCGTCGGTGTGTGTCTGTGTGCACGCGCGCGCGCGCACGGTTGCTGGTTGTAGCTGCGGCTCCCGGACCCGGTACCGGGGGTGGGAGCACAAGAGGGGATAAATCTCCGCCGGCCTTCTCGCATCTCACTGCGGGTATATAACCAACCAGGTAGAGAGAGAGAGACCAGGGTGACAGTTCCTGCAATAGCGGCTGCGTGTCCAAGGGTCAGGTTATCAGACCTTCTCTGTCACACTGAGGGATATTTATATATTTTTGGGGGGTAGTGTTTTTTTTAATGTAATTTTTATTTTTATTTTTTTTTTATTGTTTGCCTCTATCTCCAGAGAGCAAGGGCGGGAGAGGGGCGCGCGCTCCAGCCGAGCGTCGCGGATCTGAGCGGGTCGGAGACGGCAATTTGGCGAGTGGGGGAGGGAGGGGACCTTGATTTCCACCAATCCCCGGGCGTTTGTCTGCGAAGTCCGAGGCGCAGCGGAAGGCTGCGGCGCGCGGCTGAATTCACTGATGAGAGCGAGTTCTTTTCTTCTCGGGGAGGGGCGGGGAGCGAGGGTCCTGGCTGGCGAGGCGGAGGAGCCCGGGTCTGGATAGCGGTCCCGGGCCGCCGTGGAAATTTCCAAGGACTTGGCGCGGCGCGGAGAGCGCGTCTGGGGGGTGCCTGGCAGCGCCGCTGCGCGGGAGGCGGGGAGAGGCGGCGAAGGGCGCAGGAGCATCTCTCGGAAGGGGACGCCGCGGGCCAAATGTCTGGGAGGGAGCCGAGCCGCTCCCCGGACCCATGCCGCGGGCGACAGTGATGCTGCAGAACCCGCGGGAGCCACTGGTCGCCGCCGCTCTCCGCGCCGGCGGAGAACCCAGCGCCCGCCTTCTTCAGGGGAAGCAACCATGGCCGTAGCTCGTGACTTGCCCCCCGGCCACGTCCCCTAGAAAGACATCCTTGAAAAAGTTGCAATTCAAAAACAATCCTTACTCTGACCTCTGGAGCCGTGGGGGCCGACGAAGCGCTTGTGCGAGTGCGGGCAAGAAAGCGAAAGGTGTGTGCATGGGGGGCCACTTCGCTTAGCGTTGTGCTGAGGCTCTGGTCTTCGCCGACCCCCCACCCCCGCCCCCCGGGACCCCGGGGCTGCGATGAGCCCCTGCGGGCGGCCCCGGCGGCACACGTCCAGAGGGGCCATGGCTGTCCTGGCGTGGAAGTTCCCGCGGACCCGGCTGCCGGTGGGAGCCAGTGCCCTCTGCGTCGTGGTCCTCTGTTGGCTCTACATCTTCCCAGTCTACCGGCTGCCCAACGAGAAGGAGATCGTGCAGGCGGTGCTGCAACAGGGCACGGCGTGGAAGAGGAACCAGACGGCGGCCAGGCTTTTCAGGTACCTCTGCCCTCGTGGCTCCTCCCCGCTCGTGTCCTTTCCTCCCGGTGCGCGGAGGACAGGGTCGCTAGCGAGGACCGCCTCGCAGAGGCATCCCTTTCATCCAGTCTTTCCTTCCCATTCCTGACCTGGAGACTTGAGGCAGGAGCTCTGACCACCCTTTACCTCAAGAAAGGTGCAAAAAGCCTGTACGCATTTCTGCCCAAGCCTGATTTGCAGTCTCCGATTTGGTGATAACTGGCGGGAAGGGGGGACCCAGGCGAACTTTGTGCCTTGCACTTAATGAGAATTACTCTCTTGGGCTCTGCAAGACATCTGAAGCTATAGAGAACTAGAAGCAGGTCGGCTGTGTTTTAATGAGGTTCGGTGAATGGTTGGCAACACGCATCCCTGATGAGGGACTCATGGCCAAATCTTGGGCAGTGAAAACATGCTCACTCTGCCAGGATCCAGTGGCTTTGTGCAGTGTGACTGTCACAAACACAGGGCACTTACTAAGAGCCGGTGCTGTGTCATTTTTATGTTGAAGTCTCAGCAACTTTCCAATGACAGCTATTAGCCCCATCTTACCAACCACAGACTGAGTCTTCAGAAGGATCTTTTTCCAAGGTCAAGTACCTTGGAAGTGTCCCTGCTGGGCTCTTCCATCACAAAAGCTCTAAAGCTCCCAGATCTTTCTCTGGTATGAGGCGGGGGAAGCCTTCTGAAGGATGGAAGATTGCTTTAGGGAGGGACTTGACCTCAGAAGACAGACAAAAAACGGTAACCAGGTTGGATACCGGAACTCTGAGGGTCCCTCAAAGGTTGTAGTTTTCCTTCCTTTCTGGGAATTTCAGCTTAACTGTCTAAAAATAAGTTCTTGGCAGCAGGGGTTGCCTGTGGATTGGAGGGAAGACAGAACTGCTTCCCACTTCCTTTCCGCCTCCCAGGGCATGTTGGGGGACACACTGGTGCTTCCACCCCTGCCAGATGCCCCTTTCACCTTCCGTCCCTGGGGCTGAGGATGCTGCGGTTGTCTCTTCCGGTGACTGTAGTGGTCTGGGCGGGGAGTGCTTTCCTCTGCTCTGCATAGGACCTTTCAGGCAGCTCATGGGCAGGTGAGAGCCAATTTAAACATTTTTTGTGACTGTTCCAAACGTTCAGAAACATCTATAAATTTTTTAAAAAGCACTTGAAAAACATACGGTTTCCTCCCTCCTCTCAGGCCTGGTCCTGGAAAGAAGGTCAAAGAATTAGGCAACTCTTTTGGGGAAGGCTGCTAAATTCTCCTTTAAGCTGGGAGGGAAGACTTTTCATTTCTCTCTCTTTTTAGACTTCTGCTCTCATTAAGTTTAAAATTACCCCTCTCCCTTAAAAGGATATGAGGATTTATCTTCTCTGACCTCCACAGTATTGATTGTTGGACTCAAAAGCACTCAAAAGGCATAGCATCCAGCAATTCTTTTCTCTGAAGACAGAAAGCACTTCATTGTAATATAAAGAAATGAGTTAAGAGCGTCCCATTGGTTTCCAATGAAAGAATCCCCCCCCCCCTTTTTTTGTATAGGAGGAGGAATAATGAAGTTCCATTGGAGAATAGATTTCTTTTGGAAGACATAATCAAGTGGAAAATACTTGATATTCTGAGACACACAGGCTGACAGTTTTCGGAGACACATGTGCTCCTTGCTATCTGTAGCCTGGAGTAATCTTTGGTTGTTTAGCTGTCATTTGGTCTTGTCTCTATGTGCAGAAAATTACTTACTGAAATGCACACACTATACAAACTGCCTAAACACCGATCCTTCCAAGTTAGTGCTGTAAAATGGTGTAAGAGGCACCGCTACTTACCGAAAAGAGTGCGGCGCTTCAGAGAAGCCTGAATTTTTAGACTGCCCATGCCATGATTAGATAAACAGCAGAGCATCTTCGTCAAGTTATTCTATCTCTTTGAGTCTCGGTTTTCTTATTTATAAATGAGATAATAACATACCTTGCAGGGTTGGTATCAGGTTTAAATAATAAAAAACGACAACCTGATGATACATGTCTGGCATAATCCAGTCAGTTGTGTTATAATTTTTATAAATGATATATGTTATATGTTACAACTTAAATAAGAACAGCTTGCCAGCCCATATGAATTTGGAATATTTCACCTGCCAAATTTGTAGAGAAACTTTATTGGTCCATATTCTACCCACACTCCCTTACACCCCTTACACTTAAGCAAATAAACAGGGACAAGGAGTTTTAAATGAGAGTAAAAGTATCATGGTTTGGTAAGTCAATTTTTTTTTTACTCTCATGTTTGCGAAAATCCATTCTCTCTCTCTCTCTCTCCCTCTCTCTCTCTCTCTCTCTCTCTCTCTCTCTCTCTCTCTCTCTCTCTGTCTGTTTATTTTACCATCTGGATTTTTAGTATGCAAGTAGTAGTGTATGTTTTCTAAATATTAGACAGATCAGACAGGTTAGAGGTGGTTTCTGTGCACCCGGTTCTTGTCTTACTTGTAGGAAGGAATTCAAACAAGAGACAGTACCAAAGAGCTGCAAAGCATGCAAGAGTTTATTTGCAAGAAAAAGAAACACCCTTAGACATAGAGAGTAGAGTGGGCAGGTTAGCTGGCTGACGCAGAACCAAGTGCCCTGCTCCTTTGAGCATTTTAAATTTTATACCCTGGAATTGGGTTGTGAGGGAAAAAAATACCTCCTCAGGTTTCAAAGCTACCCCACCTGGATGTTACTCTATCTGTTAGACCACATCCTGGAGGAGGTTTCAAGTCTTCCTTCTTGGGTCTGATAACTCTTGCTTAATTCTTGTGTAAGCATCTCCCATGCCTTCCCCTTGATCTTATCCATCTATCGCCATTCATGTCTATCTAGCTACCTACTCTAACTTTCCCCCCTTCAAGTGATATCAGTCAAATTCATTTGAAAAGTTGAGGGACGCTAGTCTGGCTTCTGACTCTACTTCTGCTGAATTGGACAAGGGAGCTGTGTGGGCTCGATATCTCTTGCTCTCTGTCTGAGATGGCTAGATTGGGGTGGAGTGGAAGTGCCGTGTAAGCCTGGTCCAATAGATTTTGATGTATGAGCTGACAGCCTTGTGAACCATCATTTGCAGATGTATTGCCTGTATCTGGGAGGAAAGAAAAGTTGTTAGTTTGTTTATTATGCAGGGACTGAAGGTGCAGATAAGTATGAGAGTTATTAGTGGATCTAACAAGAGTAAGAACCAAGTTAAATTGGGAAATGCCTGCTTAATTGTATTCCAAATAGTATCTTTCATGCCTTCTAGATTAAAATTTCATAACCAAGTGACATGTTTTCAAATGGTTTGAATGTCTGCTTCAATTTGGCCAGTTGTATTGATGTAAAACAGCACGAGGTGTTTGCTAGGGTACATACGCCTCCTTGGGAAGCTAATAAGTAATCGAATGCTGTGTGGTTATCAGTGACCATGTTAGCTATTGAATTTATGGATTGAAAAAATTATCTTAAGTCTCTGCCATTAGGAGTAGCAATAGTGGTCATTGAAGCAGTTATATTTTTGGCTGGAACAGCACTGTAGGTAATGCTCCCTGCTAGCCTCATTAGGCCTCCAATTAAGGCTGTGAGGCCTAGCACAAGGAAATTTATGGCCCTTTTGCACCTTCTGTGAGGACAATAAATCTGAAAGTTTGCTCTGGGGATGTGGAGTAGCCTATTGTCCCTGTTCCTGCGGTTGCAGATGGATTAATGTGTTGTTGAGCTATTCCACTTTGGGGTGTTAGTCCTAGGAACATAAGTCCTTTGAGTAAGCAAAGATATCCATTAGTATCATTAGGTTTAGTGGGGTCTAGGGAGGAATGATTTAATCAATTAGTGACTGACGGCAGTGCCGATGTATTGCATCCAGGGTAGTGTCTTCTTGTTTTTCCCTTAGATGGGGAAAGAATGGTTCTGTTGCAGTTTTGTCTAGTCTGTATCTGCAAAGTGGTATTGCAGATAATAGAGCTATTTAAGGATTGGAGTGTATAGTTAGTAGCATTTGGTTCTGCTTTAATAAGGGATCCATTGCAAATACCTGCTGATTTGTGTGTGCCATTTTATAACAGCAGGTAGCATTTCGGGTTGTGCTGCAATTCTAGGAGGTTTTGTTCTCTGTCTGAGAATTTGAAAGTGAGGCCCTCCTCGTCACAATGAAAAACACTTCCGTCTGCCAGATGGGAGAAATTCTTGTTAAGCTTTGTATAGAATATAGTGGACAAGGGCTGGTAACACCGAGGTGTTACATTAAGTTTTGGAATAATTTAAAAAGTTGGGTTGTGCTTAGACAACTTAACCTGTTAGGGTCTATGGAATAAGATAAGAATTGGCCAGGAGTCCCATTAGAGCATGGTCAGTCCTCGTTCTAGGCTGCTGATGGCAGATCCAACAGATTTCAGTTATATTGGGAACCTGTAGAGTTAGCTCTTGAGTAAAATAAGAGATAGCTCTTGTTTCTGCAGCCTAGGCCTAGCACATGAGTAAAAGTTAGAGGTAAGAATAGGAGTTTATTCATTGTGTATGATTGCAGAAAAGACCAAAACAAGCTTCAAATGGTATGTCTGGAAGTGCACAGGCAAATGAGCAAATAAGGAGAAAAGTTATATAGAAAACTGTTGACCTGTAGAAGAGCAATTCTGAAAAAGGAGGCATTCCAAGGGAACAAAGAGTAAAAGGCCAATCCAAAAGAAGATTAAGAAATTTGTAAATAACAGTATAAATTGAGACCTGGATGCATGGGAACTACTGCCTCATTGGTTATCCATAGATCTTGAACAAGTCTGTTCAGACCAGTGTGTTGCCTGACAATGTTGGAGAATATATGCTTTTTAAAAAATTAATCTTTATTGTTGAGATTATTACAGAGGTTATTCTCGCCCCCCCCCCCCCCCATAGCTCCCCTCCACCCAGTTCCTCGCCCCAGGCCCTTGCTACCCTATTGTCTGTGTCCATAGGTAATGCATACATGCATATAAGATCTTTGTCTAATCTCT